AGACCTGTCGGTGCTGAAAACAGAGTTCACCAAAGTGTTGTCTATTAGAGCATGAGGTACGGCCATAACCTAACAATGCATGGGCAAGAATTGAGGCTTAAGAATATGGTAAGCGTTTTTATATATCAACACAGTCACAGTGCAAAAGGATGAGATAAAAGGACGACAATGGCGGTAAAACAGACGCAGCGTGGCTAGTTGCAAGCGGAATGGCGATTGAGAGGTCCAGCGCAAAATTTTCTCCCAAGTCACAATCGAAGACTGCGGGAGCAGGGGGTTCGTGACTATGTTTCCTCGAAAAAGAAAATGAAATTTTAATACCCAAATGCATGTTAAAACCGTGTGGGAAGTGTTAAATTTGTACAATAAAATCACCTGCAGCGATGAAGGGGCGAAGAGAATGGCGTCTATTCTCCCATCGAAGGATTCATTGAGGTCACCTGACCATTCGAGAGACCATCACCTTTGGCAGCATTCACGATAGCCGCCACGACAGACGGATTGCTGAGGATGTTTAATGTGGCCAGGGCAGCGTTATCCCCACCGCCGGGATAGGTTTGTACAGGACTCATGCTGGCCCTCTGCCTTGCAAAGTTAGTGTTTTGGTTCTGTGGAAGGATTAAGTTTACAATTTATACCGGTTCATCAGGAAGATTAAGTGCCCACAAATTAAAAAACCCACCTGATGTGCTCGTGTGTACTGGGAAGCCAGGGCTGCCGCGGTTGACATGGCAGCCTGGTTCACGCCAGGCACCATCGCGTTGTAACGAGTCCGCACAGGAGCACCATGACCGCCGTCTCCGTAGCCATAGCCACCGAACTGCGGTTGCCAGGCTGCAAGATCACGAAATTATGAAGAATGAGGGAAAGAAAGACTGGTTAGGACAGACTAAATTATAAATCGAACGAAAAAAGTGCGTGAAAGACATGCATTAAACAACGTACGATTCCAAGGGAGTTGTTGTGGCCCCATATTTCCCTGGTACATATTGTGCATCATGTTTTGATTCGAGTGCCGCGGGAAGGAGGGCATCTTAGGTACTGCGGACCCCACAGTAAGGGTGACACCATTCACCACCTGGTCCTGTCCTAGGAGGGAGGCTGCAGTATCTGCATCTTCGAAGGTGATAAATGCGAAAGAGCGGAACGGGCGCGGTATAAACACATCGGTAATCTAGATGGATAGATGTACATGGAGAAAACAGTCAATGAGATCATTTAAATTACATAAATTATCTTACTTAACAACATTCAGTAGACAGAAACTTTTACTTCACGTGGGATGCTGTCGCACCAAACTCGTGGCAGAGGTGCAGAAAGGGAGCGGGAAGGCAGACGCCTGTCGCACGGTAATGTTTAATCGTCAGAACGCTCCAACTATTCGTTATCACAGGAGTCTTACCCATCTGATCGAAGATTTAATCACCGAACCCCATAGTCACACAGTAACCAGGCAGACCACTCGCTCGCTCTAAAACACCCCCTTCAGTTTAACAGGTGTGCGGATCCCCTGAAAGTGTTTGCGTTTGTTTGCCCGATGATTCCCAGGTGACTCGATACCATTATTAAATTCCCCGCAAGCGACTTCTTGAAATGCACTGAAAACTTCTCACTGGCTGAGAAGCGCAATCAGCGCTAAGGAATATAACGGAATACGGACGGAAGTGGAACTTTGCCTTATTTAATTTCCGAGGAAATTAATGAGCGAACTCGGGGTAAATTCTTCGGAGCTGACCTTTTCAGACACGGCACAAAATTTGAGATGAAACTACGTTACTCGGGAATTAAATCAGAGGAAGATATGAAGACGAGGATGGCTTGGACTCGGAGAGGTAGGTATATTTGTCTGAGGTCTGAAACTCGTGCTTAAGTTCGAAATCTGGGAATGAGAAATTACTACGCTGTGGAACAGTCAGCAGCCGTCTACCGCACTGAGTGTGGTGAATGCTCAACCAAGTAAAAGCTGCATACGGATGTTAAAAGGGGAACGCGGATAGAGACGCAAAGAGCTGTCGTTAAATTCGTTCTCTCCAACCCCCACCCTTTGTGTCCCCCTGGTTCGGAGTACACACATAGATTCTACTACGATAGAACAACGAAAGTGAGAGGGAAGCTGGGCTTTTTAAAAAATGGCCTGGCTCATTACGGGGCTGACGTCCGCTTCTGACATGAACAAGACGGGCAGGTCAGCATTGGTTTATTTTTACTTCGGAAGAGGTCAACGAGGACAGTACTTTCATAAGACTGCACAGGGATATCTAAATGTGTCGACCGTCTGACTGTCCGGAACCAAACAAAACAAAAACCTGGTGCCTACGGGAAGCGCAAAGCCTTCCTTAAAAAGACATGACATGCCAGAATTATGAGGCAGGGGCCATGGATTATTGCTCGAGCCAGGACCGCATGCTACAAACCGCTCATTTATTCATTAGAACTCACTTTCTGCGACTTGATCCAAAAAGTAAGCAAGGAGTGCGAATGAGTGACTTCGG